TGTTTGTTTAAAAAAAACGAAAACATATATGCTAAGTGAAAACTTTAAATCACTGATAAATTGAATTGTCGCCTTTTTACCTTCGAAACTCAAATACTGTCTGATATTAGATTTTTCATTATTGATTACTAAAGAAATAATAGGGTCTTGAGTATAAAGCACCGAATTCTCACGAACCAAGATCTAGTAGGGAAAAAGTACAGAGTCGGCGCTATATAAGATAGGTTCTTAAGTCTCATATATATTCCTCAAAAGCTAATTGAGTCATGAATGATAAACCTAGCAACAAAGCATCATTGCTTGACAATACTGAGAGAAGTTAAATCTGATACCGTAAAACTTAGAACAATAGAAAGGTGAACATTTATGATTATGCTCTACTTGATGGAAATGTCAACGCAATTATCGAACACGTGATCGCATCTGTAAAGTTCAATTGCAGCATGTCATTAATAGGCTTGACATTCAAAATGTGGAGCACGTGGAAGATAGATATCTTGAGTAGAAAATATGCTCCCTCTCTTTCTTCAATTTACAATCCTCAGCACATATAGAAAATATCGTATGCTTTCTCCTTCCAACTCTCTTGCTCGCCTCTCGCTTAAGATTGATTCATTACGGTCAAGGTACTGACTAAAATTCCAAGCTAAGAACTTTTCTTCGCACATGCTTTATTCTCATCGAAATAATCTCAGACCCAACCTTGAACTTAGTGAATTTGAAAGCATAACAGTCCAAAATACCACTGACCTTAAGAACGGTCTCCATATAATTAGTAATCCCCGAGAACCAATCGCTGCTCTTCTTCGAATCCTCAGTGACGAGAGCAGGATCAACGGCAGAAGAAACTGCAGCGTCAGCCACAGTGTAAATGAAACCCTCGGCCCGCTCAATTATCTCCTGGGCTGCGCTCCCGAGATCTGCGAGGTGCGGGCCGTAGCCCGATCTCGCCACCAAGAATCCGGCCCGTTTTCGGGAGAAATTTGAGGGGAGAAGAGGGTTTGAGGGTTTAGAGCGAAAAGGGAAGGGAGAGAGGAGAGGGGGGCGAGCGTTGAAGGAGAGAAGACCTGTCATTTTGGGGTTAATTCTTTTGTGATCTGTGTATGATTTTTGGGATTTTAGGGCGAGCGGGGGAAGAGAGAGAGAGAGAGAGAGAGAGAGAGGAGGGAAGAAGTAGAAATGCTCGAGCTTGGGTCGAAGAAAGATTTTGAGTTTTGGGGGGCAAAAATATCTAGCTTTTGGAATAGATATATTTCCTTAAATAGATGTACACGTTTTTAAGGGAACAAATTTTTTAAACAGACCCATTTCAATTTTTAATTTTCAAAACCGACTCTTTTTTTTTTTATTTACCAAAACCGACCCGATTTTATGATTAGCAGATTAATCACCTTCCTAAATAGTCGGGGTTGGCAACCCCGACTATTTAGGACGGTGTTAAACCCTAATTAGAAGCATTAAACCCTAAAAATTAATGTCCTAAATAGTCGGGGTTGCCAACCCCGACTATTTAGGAAGGTGATTAGTCTGCTAATCACAAAATCGGGTCGGTTTTGATAAATAAAAAAAAAAGAGTCGGTTTTGAAAATAAAAAGTTGGAATGGGTCTGTTTAAAAAATTTGTTCTTTTTAAGGTCGAACTTTTTTATTTGTTTTTTATATTTTAGAGAGTGAATAACTTTTTAATTGCAACCTACGTTAAATGTTTTATTTGTTTTTATCGTGCATTTCTTTTTCATGTAGTGGTTCTTATTTTCAAAACTACTTGCAAAGTTTGATTTGACATCTGTCTCTTAAAAAACAGTCAGCCTATTCTTTTCCTATTCTTTTTAGAAGAAAAAACGTCCAATAGAAGAAAAAACGTCCAAAAGTCAGCCTATTCTTTTCCTATTGTTTACCTTAGAGGTTTCATGTCATGGACTAGTTAAAATAAAACCAATTAAATTATCTTCTATTTTGTTGATTTAAAAAAAACTATCCTCCATATCTTTGATGATACATAGGCTCCAGTATTACTTAATCTAATTATGCCAACAAATTAAGAAAATTCAAAAGCTCTCTCAAATAAACCTTGATACCTCCTCTTTACACTTAGAACAACAACATGTTGATATATATTTCATGAAATCACAAGTGGAATAGTATAATGTGATCATATATTTCGTGAATTAACAAATAGAATAGCGCAAATTGTTATAAAGTGTCTCAAATCCTATAAGTTGTTTCAAGTAAATCCCTCTGATGACAAGTGGTACAGCAGTATATAGGAATTGCGGAATCTAATAGCAATTTCAATAAGTTGACGATAAGCTAATAAAAATTTAAGGGATTAATATTGACAAAGCCTATAAAATATAATATTTCAAAGGAATTTTTTCGAAAAACAGCATGTTAACACGTCCAAAGAAAATCATAAAAATGGGTCCTGTTATGAAACAATTAAAATGATGTGGATGTCCATTTAGTTTCCCAAAGAGATTGATACATGTATTACCCCTTGATATTCTCTATGAGTAATCAATATGATTCATGTATCATCATCTTAGTTTGTATATAAATAGAGATATTCCTACCTCACTTTGCAATGAGAAATTGAGGAAATAAAATTCTTTCTACTTCTTGTCTACTTTCTCTACTCTGAAATAAAATTCTTTCTACTTCTTGTCTACTTTCTCTACTCTACTTTATTAGTTTTACAACACGTTATCAGCACGAGACTCTACCATTGAAACAATCCATTTCAAGTCCATTAGATTCATCGTTTGGCACATGTTCATATTTTAGGTAAACCTTTGAGGTAAAATTTCTCTTTGCAATTCAATTCATTTTTTACTATGACTAACCTTACAAAATAAGAATTTATGCCTATTGATATTTTTGAAAAGAACTACTTATCTTGGATGTTAGATGTTGAAATACATCTTGTCGCAATGGGTCTTGAAAATACTATTGTGGAAGAAAATGAGACATCAAATCAATGTCGTGCCAAAGCTATGATTTTCCTTCGCCATCATTTGGATGAAAGGTTAAAAACTGAATATTTAACTGTGAAAAACCACTTACTATGTGGAATAATTTGAAGGAGAGGTTTGACCACCTGAAGTTGGTCGTGCTCCCAAAAGCACGGTATAATTAGCTTCACTTAAGGCTACAAGATTTTAAATCAATCAGTGAGTACAATTCTGCAATGTATAAAATTACCTTTCAATTGCAATTGTGTGAAGAAAATGTCACTGATGATGATATGTTAGAAAAAAGCATTCTCCACCTTTCATGCCTCGAATATGCTCCTTCAACAGCAATATCGAGAGAGAGGATTTAAGAAATACTTAAGAAATACTCTGAATTGATTTCATGCCTCCTTTTGGTTGAACAAAATAATAAATTATTATTAAAAAATCATGAATCACGACCTAATGGTGCTAGCACATTCCCTGAAACGAATACAACTCAATCTCAAAATCATCGTTGTGGGCATGGACATGGCCGTGGAAGAGGCCGAGGACGTAGCCGGTGTAGTGGACGAGGTCGTGGAAAATATGTGCCTTATAATCACAATGATCATAACCATGGCAAAAGACAAAACAACTCCCAGAAGTGGGACAATAATGATAAGAAAAGTATAGAAAAGAAACATTATGAGGAAATATGCTATCGGTGTGGAATAGAATGTCATTGGTCCTGTACCTGTCGTACGTTAAAACATCTTGTTGATCTCTATCAGGCATCATTAAAAAGGGAAAGGCAAAAATGGCGAGACAAATTTCATTGATCAAAACAATGTTTATGATGATCTTGATGATATCACACGCCTCGATGCAGCTGATTTCCTTGAGCAACCTGAAGTTGTGAAATGATCTCATGACAAATACCCGGCATTTTGAATTTTGTTATTTTCACATCTTTTATGTAATTTTTTTATAAATTTTATAATTTATGGACTTTATTGATATTTACTTTTGTTTATAATTTTCTTTGTCATTTCTTCCTGAAGAAGAAATTGATGCCAAATATTTGGGATCAAACAATTGTGATGATAATATTTGTCTCATTGATAGTGCTACTACACACACTATACTTAAAAATATAAAGTATTTTTCTTATTTGGAAATAGAAAAAACAAATGTTAACACAATAAGTGGTAGTGCTAAATTGATTGATGGCTCCGGAAGAACCACTATATTTCTCCCCGAATGAACTAAAATTGTCATAAATAATACACTACTCTCGATAAAATCTCAAAGAAATTTGCTAAGTTTTAAAGATATCCGCCGAAATAGATATCATATCTAGACAATGAATGAGACAAATGGTGAATACTTATTGATTACAAATACCATTTCTGAAAAGAAATGTGTACTAGAAAAGCTGTCTTCTCTATCTTTTGGTTTATATTATACAAAAATAAGTGCAGCTGAAATTTATCACCTTATAGACCAGAAGTCTACTAATCCCGATGATTTTATGATTTAGCATGATCGCCTTGGACATCCTGGTTCTATACTGATGAGGCGAATAATTACAAATTCACATGGCCATTTATTAAAAAATCAAAAAATACTAAATTCTAATGAATTCTCATGTGTTGCTTGCTCCCAAGGGAAGTTAATTGTTAGACCATCACCAACAAAAGTGGGAACTGAATCCCCTGCATTTCTAAAACGAATTCATGGTGATATATGTGGGCGTGTAGATCAACCATGTGGACCATGTAGATATTTTATGGTGCTAATTGATGCATCAACAAGATGGTCACATGTATGTTTATTATCTAGTCGCAACCTGGCGTTTGCGAGATTGCTTGCTCAGATAATTAAATTACGAGCACAATTTCCTGATTATCAGTCGCAACCTGGCGTTTGCGAGATTGCTTGCTCAGATAATTAAATTACGAGCACAATTTCCTGATTATCCCATTAAGAAAATTCATTTAGATAATGCTGGTGAATATTCATCACATGCTTTTGATGATTATTGCATATCAATTGGAATAAGTGTTGAACATCCTGTAGCTCATGTTCATACATAAAATGGTCTAGCCGAATCATTTATTAAATGGCTTCAATTAATTGCAAGACCATTGTTAATGATGTCTAAACTTCCTCTATTTGTTTGGGGACATGTTATATTACATGCAACAACACTTGTGAGAATTAGGCCGACAAGTTATCATACTTATTCTCCCTTACAATTAGTTCTTGGCCACGAGCCCAATATTTCTTATTTAATCATTTTTAGTTGTGTGGTATATGTTCCTATTGCACCGCCTCAACGTACTAAAATGGGCCCTTAAAGAAGATTGGGGATATATGTCGGGTATGAATCACCCTCTATAATTAAATATGTTGAACCATTAACAAGTGACTTATTTACTGTAAGATTTGCAGACTATCATTTTGATGAATCACATTTCTCGACATTAGGGGGAGGTAAAGATCAAATGAAAAAGAAAATTACTTGGAAAATATCATTAGACTTTCTTGATCCTCGTACAAAAGAATATGAACTAGAAGTTCAAAGGATTATACATTTACAAAAAAGTTGCAAGGCAATTACCGGATGCTTTTAGTGATTCTAGAAGAATTACTAAATCGCATATTACAGTAGAAAATGCTCCAATTAAAATTGATATCCCAGAAGGACAAATTAAAAGTGCTAACGAATCTAAAGCACGCCTGAAGCGTGGTAGACCTCTTGGTTCCAAAGATAAGAATCCTCGAAAGAAAAAATGATTGAATGATTGAAATATTGCTAATGACAAAATTTAACCTCCTGAAAAGGTCACCTCTGAAGAGCCAACTCCTGAAGAGAATGAAACTATAGAAAATTCAATAAATGTTGTCATTATGAGAAAGAGTTGGAACCGAAGAGAAGTAATTGTCGATAATGCATTTGCATATGATGTAGAACTTAATATTATGGAAGAAGACAAGGATCATGAACCCAGATCGATTGATGAATGTCGACAGAGAAATGACTGGTCAAAATAGAAAGATGCGGTCCAATCTGAATTAGATTCACTGGCTAAACAAAAAGTTTTTGGATTTATAGTCCAAATACCTGAAGGTGTAAAGCCAATAGGATATAAATGAGTATTTGTGAGGAAAAGAAATGAGAAAAATAAAATTGTGAGATATAAAGCAAGACTTGTAGCCCAAGGATTTTCACAAAGAGCAGGATTTGATTATGATCAGACATATTCTCCAGTAATGGATGGA